AGAGACCATGGTCGTCGTTCTCGTAAATTTTGCCTTTGTGCTGTCATGTCCATGTGTCTGTTCCGAGCTGAGATGGTGTCGATGGGAATATATATATATGTATATGTATGGTTTGAGTGTGAGTTGTTATCTTATCTTAGAATATCAGAACGGGAAGGAGGAAGAGGAGGAGAAGGGGAGGAGGAAGAGGAAGAGGAGAAGAGGAGAAGAAGAAGGGGAGGAGGGAAGAGGAAGAGAGGAGGAGAGGAAGAGAAGGAGCAGGAGGAGAAAGAAAAAAAAAGAAAAGGAAAGAAAAAAGACAAAGAAGAGGAAGGATAATGATTTAAGAAAAAGTGTCCGACTGCGGTGAAATAGACTATATTATCGCTGATTAGTATATCTATTACCGCTGAAATTGATGTCTGTTGCCTCTGGAATAGATATCTGTTGTCGCTGAAATAGATATCTGTTGCTGCTGAAGTAAAATTAGTTGCTGAAATATCCGTTACCTCTAAAACAAATATCCGCTGTCTTTGGGATATAAACTGCCGCTGAAACAAATATCCGATGTTTCTGAAATGAGCATCCGGCGGCCGATAGAATTAATATCCGTTCTATCTGAAATGAACAACCGTTACCTCCGAAATGAATATCCATAAATAAAAAAAAGATAACCTCTACATCAAAGCACCCATTTCCCCTGAAATAGACAGACCCGTCGCCTCTGAAATATCTATCGCACGTACAATATATGGGCAAGACCACGCAGTCTGGGCGACCCTCCCTTCTCCTGGTCGACGCCGTGACTGAACCGGAGGCGAGGTCATTACGTGAACATGTCCGCGTGATCCGGGACCTGCAGCGGGGATTAAGGTCCACGTTTCTGCATGAGGTCTTGTTTACAATATTTATTTCTGTCGTCGTTTATAAACAGAGAGAGAATATAGATAGGAAATGGAGAGAAACAGTGTCGTGGCTAGTTTTTTAAAAAGGAGAAATGTAGATAGAGGACAGAAAAAGGTATTAAAACAAAGCCGTGGCTAATAGAAGAAAAAAGAAAAGAAAAAGAAAATGAAAAAGCTAAAAAATAAAGAATGTTAAAACACGAAATAGTGTATAGAGGGACATTTAATTCTGCCGTGGTTAGTAAAAAAATATAATAATAATAATAATAATAATAATAATAATAATAATAATAACAAACAAAAAGCAAAACAAAGCAAAACAAACGAAAAAAAAAACACACAAAACAAAAAACGTGCGAGCGAATGTGTAGAAGAGGCAGCTGAAGGAGCGTTGGTGTCATTGCTTATGACACAAAGAAAGGAAAGAGGGAAATCATTGACCTTTCGGGTTTATCTTTTCTCCTATTCAGGAAACAGAATAGATAGGGGTTGCATTTCTTCCGCGAAGCAAAATCTCGCGAGACTCGAAACGTTGTGTATCCTCGCTCTTTTACCCCCCCCCCTCCTTTTCCCCTTCCCCCACCTCTCTCTTCTTCCCCCTTTCCCCCTCTTCTCCTCCCCTTCCCTTCCCACCTCTCTCTCTTTCCCCCTTTTCCCCTCCTCCTCCCTTCCCTTCCTCTCTCCTTCCCACCTCCCTCTCTCTCTTCTTCCCCCCTTTCCCCCCTCCTCTCCTCCCTTTCCCTTCCCACCTCTCTCTTCTTTTCCCCTTTTAACTGTAGTTTTATATTTCATTCCAAGGTTTTAGAAGGACTTTGACACGTTTATTGAGACAAAAGTAAAATTACAACTCAAAAGGATGAGGTAACTTAGGTTATCCTCACCCTTACTTAATAAGTCCCTGAGCGAGTTCACAACTCATATACAAAGCTTAGGTATAATAATATTTAAAAATAAATACGGTGTGCCAGTGTGTGAACGTGTGTGTGTAAGTAGGTGAACGATTCATACGTGGGATTTTGGACAGCTTGTTCAATCCGATGTGAAATTGATTTTGAATAATTAAGTAATTAATCACTAACATCTATTTTTTCAGTTGTTATCAATTGTCCAAGATACTGATCGGAAAATCCTTGACTAGAGACCCAAGGAGAACATGAGACACGAGAATGACGCAATAGTTCTCTTGTGTAAGTGGCCAAATGCTACGAAAAGGATCGGATTCAACTTTTTGTCAAAACCGAAAGTTTGAACCTGTTTTTTTTCTTTTCTTTTTCTCTTCTTTTTTTTTTTTTCTTTCCCCTTCTTCTTCTCTTTTTCTCTTGTACTTCTATTTATTCTAATTCTTTCCTTCGTTAAGGGCGGATACAGAGTTCAATTCCTTCTCCTCTCTCGTCTTTCCCTTTCTCTCACCTCCTCTTCCTCTCTTCTTCTTCTTCCCTCCTCCTCTTCCACTCCTCCCTTCCCCTCTCTTCTTTTCCCTATCTCATCCCTTTTTTCTTCTCTTCATCCCCCCCCCCTTACATTCTCCTCTTCCTCTTCCCTCTCCTTCTCTTTCTATCTTCTTCATCTTTCTTCCCCCCCCCCTCTTTCCCTTCTTCCTAACTTCTCTTCCCCTCCCTTCCTTCTACTACTTTATTCCTCTTCATTTTCCCTTTCTCTTTCGTTCTCCCCTTTCTCTCATCTCCTTTCAGTATCTTCTTCCTTCTCTCCTTTCCTTCCTCCATCCTTCTCTCCCTTTCTCTCCTCCCATTCTTCTTCACTTCTTCTCTCTTCCTTCCTCTTCCTTCTACCAAGTTTATAAAAAAAAGTTACCTAGAAAAAGCTGGTTTGAGTGTGAGTTGTTATCTTATCTTAGTATCAGAGAACGGGAAGGAGGAAAAGGAAGAGAAGAGGGAGGAGGAAGAGAAAGAGGAAGAGGAAGAGAAGGGGGGAGGAAGAGGAGGAGAAGGGGGAGGAGGAAGAGGAAGAGAAGGAGCAGGAGGAGAAAGAAAAAAAGAAAAGGAAAGAAAAAAGACAAAGAAGAGGAAGCATAATGATTTAAGAAGCCACAAAACACGATAACAGAAGTAAAAAGATAATAATAATGATGATTATGATGATGATGATAACAATAACAATAGCAATAAGAAAAGTAAAAAAATGTAATGATGATAAAAAATGATAATACTAATAATGATAATGATAATGATAATAACAATAATAAAATAATAATGCTGATAATGATAACAGTGATATACATATATATATATATATATATATATATATATATATATATATATATATATATATATATATATATATATATATATATATATATATATATATATATATATATATATATATATATATATATATATATATATATATATTTTGTGTGTGTGTGTGTGTGTGTGTGTATTAATTGTTGACTATCCTTTTCTTCTTCCTTTTCATCTTCGTTTTTCAGGAAATTCGCTTTCGAAAGACAAAGAGAATACGAAAGGAAGAAGAGGAGATGAACCGGAAGGTGAAAGGAAGAGGATAAGAAGGGAAGGAAAGCGGAAAGAGAGAAAAGATGAAAGGAGGAGAAGGGAAGGGAAAAAGGAAGAGGAGTGCGAAAGAAACCGTGAAGAAAAGAGGAGGTGAGGAAGGCGAGAGGAAAAGGAAAAAAAGGAGAGGCAAATGGAAAGGATGAAAGGAAGAGGAAGAGATTGAGAAAGAAGGAGAAGCGGAAAAGAAGGAAATAATAAGGATCGTGATAAGGCGAGAAGAAGAAGCGAGAGAGAATTAGAATGAAAGAGAGAAGCAGAAAAGAGGAAGGAAAGAAGAAGGAACGATATAAAGCAAAGGGAAGAAAAGAGAATGGGAATGAAAAAGAGAGAAGAAGAAAAAAAGGAAGAGGAAGAAGAGAGAACGAGAATGAAAAAGAGAGAAAAGAAGAAAAAAGGGGGAAGGGAAGAGGGAAAGCAAGAAGAAGAAAAAGGGAAAAGGAAACCAGACAGCCTGACACTTCCCTGAGGAATGTTCACAGTCATAGGCCTCCTCCATGGTTCATTCCACCGTGTCTCTCTTCTCGAACTTTCCATCCATCACTGAACCACGAGAACAACTTGTCTTTTAGGAGTCGAACCGAATCCTTACTGCTTGAGTGAAAGATGTTTTGTTTTCTGGTTCTCGAACGTTTTCCTTCTTCTTTTCTTGATTGTTATTTTTCTCTTTCTCCTCCTGCTCCTTCTCTTCCTCTTCCTCCTCCCCGTTCTCGTCATCCTCTTCCTCTTCCTCCACCCCGTTCTCTTCTTCTTTTTCCTCCTCCTTCTCTCCTCCCCCCCCTTTTCTTCCTCTCCTCCTCCTTCTCCCTTCTCTTCTTCTCCCACCCCCTTCTCTTCTTTCTCCTCCTTCTCTTCGTCTCCCTCCCCCTTCTCTTTCTCCTCCCCTCTCTCCTCTTCCTCCTTCTCTTCCTCTCTCTTCCTCTTCCTCCCCTCTTCTTCTTTTTTTAGACAAGGACACTGATGTCATGACAGGTAGGGTAGACATCGCATCAAAGGTGATGTTCTATAACTCACTGGTATTTTTATCTATTTACTTTTTAACATTATGAGAATTTTTGTTGTTAGGCACAAGTCCCTGGGTAACCTTTTCGCCTAATTAAATTCGGTCTATTTGTGGCTTGCATTAATTACCTAACAACAGGGTGAGAGATTCCCAAAGGATTTCGAAACACTGAGATTAATTAGAGAAAAAAAAAGACACCAACGCTGCACTTCTTCTGGGGAATCTGAAGGCTAGCTTTGACTTAGCGCGCGTCTTGCAAGGGGTCGTGGGAGCGTCTTTAACGAATGACTTGCTTCCTCGACAGATTTCACGGAATCGAGAGATTGTTAATGTGACAAACCCTTTTTCCGCACCTCGGCAGCGGAGGCGCCCTGGCCAACCGGGGTACTCAGCAACCCTGCGTTTTTGTTTTGTGTTTCTTTTTTATTCGGATATAGCTTCTTCCCCCGTCCGTTGTTGTTGCTGTTGCTGTTCCCTCGCCCTTTCCTCCCTCCCAACAGCGTCCGTGCCAACATTTCTCTCGTTCTCTGGCGGGTCGGTGAGGCTCCCCGCCACCGCCCTCGGCCATTGCTGACGCGTGAGTTGGTTGCCTCCTGACGACCCCTTTGTTCCGCGCGCTCCCCTCCTCCTCCTCTCTGTCTCTCTCCTAAGGGCGTCTGCCGTACCTCCTCGCCCTTCTTCTGCGCCGTCATGGATGCTCTCTCTCTCTCCTCCTCGCCGTGGGAATCCTCTTCGCCTCACACGAGATGCTTTCGGCTCGCAGGGATACGACGTCCCGCCCGCGTCGCATTAAAGCCACTCTCCCGTAGCCCGGGCTGTCGCAGAGAGTGCCCTTGCCTACGAAGACGTATTAAGCCTTGCCTCTATGTGCGAGGCCGCAACAGGTGAGCGAGTTATAACTAGAAATGCCCAGAAGAGCCACATATACCCCGCTCGCCCGAACTGTACTTCGGGGCGGCGTCGCGGCCGCTGGTTCGTGCGATTGTGAAAGTCTCGCTTGGGAAAGCATTTCGGATGTGAACTTGCTTGACACTGATATACGCACATATATACATACATGTATACATACATACACACACACATAAATATGTGAGTGTGCGTGTGTGTGTGTGTGATGTATATATATATATATATATATATATATATATATATATATATATGTATGTATGTATGTATGTGTGTGCGTGTATGTATATATGTGTGTATACATATATATATATATATATATATATATATATATATATATATATATATATATATGTAAAATTATATATGACACACACACACACACACACACACACACACACACACACACACACATATATATATATATATATATATATATATATATATATATATATATATATATATATATATATATATATATACTGGATACGCGAAGCCACGGTTAGCGGGCGTTGTATGTGGATGTCAAGCAAGAGCAGCAAGTACACTCACTTGCTGAACCACACGCTGCTGAGCAGAACCACGTCATGGCCAATGGTCAGAAGCACCCGTCTGGTACAGACACTGCTACTGAAGAACCAACTGGAACCTACTTCAGCATCTCTTCCTTGCACAATCAATGATCAGATCTTAAAGGAAAACTCGCAACAAATTTTCGTGGTGAGGTCTCGTTCGGGAGGGACAGTCCTGGGACCGGATTCTCGAACGCGTAAAGGCGCCGTAACTCCTTAAGGCGTCGCAACTTCCGGCCGAGCGATCTTGCGGCCCATGCACAGAGCAAGGGGCTTACTGGTGCAAGTTTAGGCGCCCTCGGTTCAGGCAGGGGAGAGCAGCCTTAGCGAGTTACGGCGAACCATAAATGGCATTTTTCAAACCTAGAACAATTAATATAACATTACAATTTGTCTTTTACTCAGTTATCGTGTTATTAGGTGTACATGAAACAATCGTGGACTATTAAATAAGGCAAGAAGTGTAATATTCCCATATAACTGTGATTTGCTTTTTCCGATAGGTTAGGTGTTGTATCTGTAAACACTACGGTCTTCGCCTCGAATGTAATAGTTTTATTCATATTTTTGTTGTTATTATTAATGCCAGTATTTACATTATTGTAAACTCCTTTTTATTAAGAATCTTGCACATTTCTTATTTTGGTACATATTAGTTAAAGTTTTATCAAGCCACGGGCTGGACATAGCGTTGTGTTTACAAAATCAGCTGACTGGCATTTACGGCTTGTGATTGGTCAAGATTCCCTAAGCGCCGCCAGAAACAGCAACTGTAATTGGCCGCTGAAGATCCGACGCCTTAAGTGATTTACAGCGCTGCGAGATTTCATTATTTTATTATTATTTTAGTAAGCTATATAGAGAGCCACTGAAAAAATCTTGATTCATACCACCAAGGTTAGCTATTTACGCAAGAAAAAACATGTTAGCTGATCATTTAAACTTATCAAGAGTCGAAGTTAAAATCTTTGAAGGCAAGTCCCAATAAGACTGAAAGAGCCCCAATATCTCTACGATGTCCAATGTCCAAATTTAAGTCAGACAGAAATTTAATGGAATTAAAAGAACGACCAAGCAGTCTTAAGTGTGAGTCTGCAGCAATTAACCATACAGGAAAACAATACTCAAAATGAGGCACAATAAAATAAAAGAAGCACCTACGTGTAATGTTGCCATCATCATAGATCTTCTTGCACTTGCAAGTGATGCCTAACTTTGATAAAATTGCCCGAGCCATATTCCTAATATGCAATTCAAATGTAAGCTTTGAATCAAAGGTTACATCCAAGAGCTTCAGGTTATCCACTGATGTGATTAAAACTTCATTAATCACCAGACTTGAATACTGAGGCAACTGCGTTCAAAACCGACTCACAATCATTTCATTTAAGGCAGGGATAAGGCGCCTTAAAAATTGTTTGTGCATACGAAGTCCGAGATACGAAGTTGAGTCCGAGACGGCGCGCAGGACGGTTAAGGCCTCCAGCGCGCCTTAACTTTATGGCTCGTTTGAGAATCCGGCCCCTGGCAACAAGTAACACCGACCGTCACCATGCGACTGTTGCAGCCCAAATGAACATTGGAACGTAGAATGTTCGCACCTAAAACGAACCAGGCAAACTTGATAACATCAAACTAGAATGTATAAATAGACTTCAATAAGACATCTTAGGTCTAAGTGAAGTTAGATGGACTGGTGATGGAGAATTTCAATGGAACGACTATGTCCTGATGTATTTGCGTGGTGGCCATCAAGAGAAAGGTGTCGGTTTTCTGAAGATCAAGGCCACAAGGAAAGCTATTATCGGATACTGGAATAAACCAGAAAGAGCAATGATGATCACACCAAAATACAAAGCCGTAGATCTGAACATCATGTGTCTATGCACCTACGCCCAATCCTCTGAGGACGAACTCGAGCAGCTCTATGAAACATTTGACTCCGCCGTAAAACTCTGCAAGAACGACGAGATCAGACGTCATGAGAGACATAAACACAGAATTAAGCAAAGGCAAAGGGATACCAGCGGTGGTCCCCTTCGGACTTGGGCACAGCATTGGCAGAGGGGGCGGGTGGAATGAATGGCGTGAAGAGCATAACATGGCAGTCATGGACACTTATTTCAAGCAACACAACAGGAACTTTACACTTGGTCAAGCCCAGACAACCAGCATAGGAACCACATAGACTACATCAGCATTAACGACAGATACAAAAACTGTTTTACTATTTGCAAAACGAAACAAAGAGCAAATTGTCTCAGAATATGAAATGTAAGCTTAAGAAAATTAAATCAAACAATATAACGCCAAAATTTTATCTAAGAGCACTTTGCACAACAGAAATGCAAATGAACTATAATATAGCAGTTCAGATTTCGTGAAATAGAGAAAGGATCTGTATGTGACGACAAAGACGATGCTGAAGCACACATAAGAAAATAGGCTAAGATGCAAAAGAGAAGTGGATGAACGAGCAATCCCAGGAAATAGAAGAACGAAGAGAGAGACCTACAGTTAATGGATTCAAAAATAAATCACATGACCAAAAAGTCCGTTTAAACAGCCAACACAGCATTGAAAAATAAAGGAAACATTTTAAAACAGAACAAATACTAATAGTTGGACAGAATATATGCGAGAACTGCTTAATGACAGTATAGAATGCTCGGTACCTGTATTAGACCAATAAGGAGGACTTCAAGGTGTGCACCTTCTGCAATCTGAAGAAATGCATTAAACTATATGAAAAATGATAAGGCTGGTGGCAAAGAAATGATAGAAGCATGTGAAGACTTTGGCATCGAAGAGACGTGCGAACTGATGTAATCCCGAGACAAATGGAGTCCATCTCAATCACGCTGCCGAAAAAAGGAGACAGCACTTTGCAGCAGCTATCGATTGATCAGTCTTGTGAGCTACATCATCAAGATAACCTGCGATAATGGCAAGAGTGAGAAGCATGAACTCTCCGAAAATTGGCGAACAATTCACTTTCCGCAAAGGAAACGGTACAAGAAAGCGTCTTTGTTTCACGAATGCTGAGTGAAAGATCAAAGGAAATGCAGAGACAAATATTCGATCTTCGTTGATTACGAAAAAGCTTTTGGCAGAGTCAGACATCAAGAAATTATAGATCTTAAAGCTCTGAAGCTTGAAGGCATCAGACATTTAACCAATCTGTATTAGAATCCAGTGGCTGCCATTTCAGTAAATGCAGATCAGCTGATGGAGTCCAAAGAAGACGAGGTGTCCCGCAAGGTTGTGTCCTGTCCCTTGATCTTTTCTCGTTCTATTCCGAGATGATAATGCGCAGAATTGAAGCCAGAACATCATTTTCAGTTAATGGACGCAGAATAACTTATGTAAGACATGCAGACGACATCTTCCTCATTGGAGAAAACGAAGATACATATTATCCTTTTACAGGAATTAAAGATTGAAAGGGAAAGGCATAGCTTAACAATGAATAAGAAATAAAACCAAATTCTCAACCATTAAAAAAACAAAAAACACCGCGATCCGTAATAAGGATAGACACGACAAGTAAACCTTATGAATATGTTGGTAGTACTTCAAGGACGCACTGTAGGTGTGACCCCGAAATCAAAAAGAGAATAGCTATGGCCAAAAGGACATACGAAAAAAAATAAAAAAATAACTGCTAACGAACAAGAACCTATCAGTAAACACAAGGAAAAGATTCATTCAGTGTTATGTCTGGTCATTTTTATTTTACGGATCCAAATCCTGGAAATTGAGTAAGAGAACAAAGGAACAGCTGGAAGCCATGTGTTGGAGAAGGCCGTTGCGGATATCATGGACAAGAAAAACAAACAGTGACAACGTACTGAAAATGGTTGGAGAAATACATAGTCCTCAGTATGACAACATATGACAGTTGTCATATATTGAACACGCAATCAGAGAAGAGGGACTGGAGACGCTGTGTCTGGAAGGTAAAGAAGAAGGAAACAAAGGGAAAAAAAAAAAAAAAAGCTTGGCGACGGCTGCTGGAACATCAACAACAGAATTCCTGCGTTGCGCGTCGCGTGGCCACTACAGACATTTAGGTCAGTGGTCGCCAAGGTCAGCTGACCTTGGCGTATACATATATATATATATAATATATATATATATATATATATATATATATATTATATATATATATATATTATATATATATATATGTATGTATACGTACATTCACACACACACACACACACACACACACACACACACATATATATATATATATATATATATATATATATATATATATATATATATATATATATATATATATATATATATATATAATATATATATATATATATATATATATATATATATATATATATATGTACATTCATACACACACACACACACACACACACACACACACA